ATACAAAATAAATAGTGAAACAGTAACAAAAACTTCAGAATCTTTGTTTAATTTAAATTAAAAAGATTCAGATAGAAAGAATAAACCTCGACGACTGTCTCGAAGAAGAGTGCAGATAAGAAGATAATTCTTCCTCGCTTTCCTCCTTCAAAATCGCGCAAGGACGACGTGCTACAGAAGCACCACTCCTCCACGAGTTTGAACGACTTCTACATTTTGAAGCAGCATTCGAAGAAGACGACGTCGAGTCGCTACTAAATTAACAACTGATCAACCAAAGGTTTCAGTATTCCAAAAAAAACGTAGGTACCGCAATTAACCAATAATAAGAGCTAAACTTGAAAAATTAATCTGTAAGAAGTTAAAAAGTGTAAAGTAAGAATAATAAGAACGAAGTATTGGAAACGCAGGCAGAACTATTCCATGACAATTGCTACTAAATAAAGATCAAATCCAGAAGCAAAAATATTTCTTGATCTATGCATGAGCAGAAAATGATTTAAGTTCTCTGTTCTATTTAAATAATGCACCTTAAAATCACTATCTAGGCAAAAAAACTACAGAATCCATTCCCTAAGGCAAGAAGTAAAAAATTGAAAACACAAAATTTAATTAATTAGTGCATAAGTTTGTGTCAGCAAAATACTACTTGTTTTCATTATGAACTTCTGCGTCATAGGCGATATCCACCAAAGGAGGATGTTCCGCAGCAAGTAGCTCTCGAGCCTTTTCTTCTCTGTACGATGCTAATACTCTCTCTGCTAGCAAGTAATAAGTAGCCGTTGCATAAGAATAATCATTATTTTCCAAAGACCTTCAACAAATCAATTTCTTACATTATACATCTACTTAGTTCCAAAAATATCTGTAAAAACCAACAAAAATTTGTACCTTAAGATGCGATCTTCAGTATCTACACCACCAGCAACCATCTGTTCAATTATTGTAGCGTGTGCGCTTTCAGGGAGTATCGCTTTTCCCACTAAAGGCAAAACTTGCGCAAGACCTCTTTCACCGGCTGCAACCCATGGATTTGATTTGATTTCTTTCAAAGTAGCTCGGTTCGAGGCATCCTTCACAAGCATTCGCGAGATTAAGCTAAGAAAGGATTTTAAAGTGCAAAATGCTGAAATAATCTCTTGAAGATGAGGCGCATTTAAAAAACTGGAACGAGGGCCTCTGAGACAGGGCGTAAAAAAAATGTGGAAGAGGAACTTTTTTACACCTCTTCTGCCACTAAAACCTAATAAAACAACAAGTTATAAACGTACTGCCGAGCATGATTTGATAAGTGATCAGGTAGAGTATATTTACAATCTAAAATTTTTGTTAATGTTTCAGAATCATTTGCTTCCTGGAATGGTAGCCGACCGCATAACAACATATAAAGGATAACGCCAAGTGACCACACATCTAAAGTTGAAGAAAACTCTCATATGTCTTATGTACAATGCCGCTTGATAACACTCTAAAGTATAAAATTCTCATACCAACAGCTGGAGCATCATATGCATCTCCAAGTAAAATTTCAGGAGCAGAGTAAGCCAAACTGCCACATGAGGTCGCTAACTGTTTACCAGGAGTAAATTTGTTACTGAATCCAAAATCTGTCAACTTGACCATCCCAAGTTTTTCAAAAAACACAACATTTTCAGGCTGAAAAAAACTACTTTGAATTCATTATAAGTGCAAAGCATATTCTTTTCTGGCACTTTCCACAGATTTCCAAAATGTACTTTTTACATCGGCCGCAATAACACTCATCTCGCTATTTATTGTCATATCAGCAAACCCACCTTTAGATCACGATGTACTACATGTAATTTATGACAGTAGTCTATGGCATTTATTATTTGGCAAAAATACTGCTGTGCGATATCCTCCGGGCACCCCTAAACTTCTTTTTCAACTATCGGTTAAAAAATGGTGATATAGCAAGAAGTTTCCTAAGTAACGTTAGCTGAAAAATAGTGAAAGAGACAAATTCACCTTGTCGGCGTTCCTCATTATAAAATCATACATATCATAATCACCAAGCTCAAGGATTAAAAACAATTTTGTTTGTGTGTCAATGACTTCATATAAGCGAACAATGTTCGGATGCTGCACTAGTTTCATACAGCGGACCTTGAAAAAGCGCAGTTTTGAAACATTGATCTTAGCATTCTTTGACAAAAAAATGCATTTCTTCGAACTGCTAACAAAAATATCAGGCATCAGTTTGTAAAAGACTTACCTCTTGCATAAAATGCGACGCTATTTTTTCGTCAAACTTGCTTTTATCGATGACTTTCACCGCAACCTGTATTAAAGTTTTGTTACTCTAAATAACATCCTAAACTAAACGCTGACTTTACAATATACTAGACATCGGGAAATTAAAGAATAAAATGTATTAGTGCTCTTCAGGCAAACCTAGAACATAATTTGAAAAAAAAAAAAATTTATGTGGGCCTTCCTACAGAAAAAGGCACACAGCGTAACATCTCAGTAAAAAATAAAAAAATTAGTTTTTTTTACAATCTGGACTACTAAAACTGTTTAAAGCAAGGAAGAAATAATTTAAAGTCCTAATCAATAATTTTAAAGATGTCTATCAATCAGCCTGCACTAGAAAAATCTTCTTCGGTTATAAAATGGGGCTAACCAAAAAATCATTAAGTAACATTATCACTGGTTGTTCTGCACATCATTTTCACAGCAGAGTATCTAAAGCATTTTCGAAAAACGATAACGACAAAACTTCACCCAAAAATTACCTCAAAAAGTAAAAAAAAATAAAATGATAGACAGTTTGAGAAATAAGAATAACTAATATATTCTGTGTCGCCGAGAAATCAATTTACCTCACCATCATTTCCAAAAATCAATACCTGTGACGTAAAAGTAAAAAGCCAGCAAAAAAAGTATGCAGGTAAGACTGTTTGTTGACAAAACTAAAAATACTACCAATAAAAATAAAAAAATATCTGTAGCGGCTCAACATGAACCACATATTACATAAAAAATCTGAAAAAAAGCACAGGCATCTAAGAACCAAACAAAAATTCTGAGAAAAAAAAAAACAATAAAGTACCTTTTCACCAGTGAAAACATGGCTTGCGAGCTTGACAACAGCAAAATGGCCTTTGCCAATGGTCTTTTCTAAATCGTAAAGACCTGCTATTCTGGCATCGTGAATACTTAAAGATCCTCTACGTTTCGGCTGACTATCTCCCATATTTAAACTCCATTTGAATTGAACAAAACAGCCATGAACTTCTTAAAAAAGAAAGAGACCGTCAACTGATAATACAGCGCCGGTTACGGCTAACGCAAAGAAATTACAATAATAAGCCGAGAAAGTTTTTTAGCATCAAAGACAAAATGCAAGTCCAGCGTCTTCCCCAGAACAGTTACAAAACTCATAAATTCAAGCAACAAATAAAGTGAAACTGAGATGGAATCAACTTTTTACCATTTTTTGTCACACCTCAAAAGTAAAAAACTGCTAGCGATAACAGCTAAGAAAAATAAAGGAAAAAATTGCATTCACAAGAGCAAACAAAGATTCATTTTTTTTTTAGCAGCTCAAAAACACTAACATCAATTAATCAAATACTGCGACAGAAAAGCTTAACTGGTTGTCAAACACACAAATCTCAAAAAAACTAATTGAACCACATTTTTGTCAGCGACAAAACCAGGACGATCACAGTTACATGTTTGGTTTATTGATAATTTTGAAAAAATTGTTCTTTTGCAAAAGCCTAAACAAAGACAGGGGAAAAAGCAAACAAATTCAATGAGAAGACGAAAATATATGCACTAGAAAAGTAGCAAGAAAAAAATTACAGCACCAAATATTAAACCTATGTTCTTTGTTACTTAGAGAAACGAGGTTATGGTTTATTAGTACCATTTCGAACAAAAGCTACAAGACCCTCCAAACAATATTCACCGTTGCTACACCAGAATAGAAGAGATTAGTACGATTTCAGCAATAAGTAAAAAACACTTTCCAGTTAATAAATGTATCATCAGATAATTATTGGAATATCACAGAACAATATTTGGTTTTCTATTTAAACGCCACAAACATCTGTAGTGCTCAGTATTACTACGCTTATTATTGATTCCTTTGCAATATAACACCTTTTTTCAGAATTGCTGCCCTACCAAACCGGTGGGTACAATAATAGTAATAATATCAATAAAATAATGGTAAAAATAACGGCAATAATAATAATTCCAGATATAATAATAT